CAGCGCACCACAGCGGGTGCATTGTGCCTGTCTGCGGCTAAATTCATGTCCACAGAGCAGGATCAGAGGGAGGGGAGCCTGTCCCATACCCTCGAGCTGGGGAGGCTGCATCAGGGAGGGACTTGGTATCTGCTGGCGGAGCTCAAGGGAAGGCAGAAGCAAAAGCTGTGTGAGTCAACGCATCTTGTTGCCTGAGGCAGGAGAAATCTCAAGAGAGTCACAGTGATGGCCCTTCCCTAGCACAGAGGAATCTAACACTGCATCTCAAATGCATCCACCCGATGCACTGCTTCAGCTAATAAACAAAACCTGAACCTCAGCGTCCCGACGTGGTGCCCACGAAATGAATGACCCCTGATACCAAGAGCACAAGCACAAAGTCTAAGTACCGAGACCAAGTTACAGACTTGCAAAAACAAGACCACAAATATGAATTTATGAGAGAAACAAATACATTCAAAGTTACAATGATTTTCATATTTTATACACAGTTTGTACAAAGCATTTCCTTTCCTTTCTTTTTTCTTTTCTTTTTTTTTTTTTGGTCTTTTTGAGACAAAGTTTCACTATACAGTTCAGGTTGGACTTGGACTCACTTTGTAGCCCAGACTGGCCTTGAACTTGCAGCAATTCTCCTGCCTCAGCCTCCAGAATGCTGGGATTGTAGGTGTGCTCCACCACGCCCGGCCTTGTTCAAAGTATTTCTAAGCATTTTTTAAAGCAAACAATGATTTCTAATATTTTTGGTATGAAAATGTCACTCAAATATACAACTTGCAAATTCTTACCTGATATATTTGGGCAAAGACCTGAAGACTGAGAGTTGCATTGTACAGATTTTTATCTTGAATTAATAAAATTGTGTCTACTCTGAAAGAGTGAAACAATGTTGCAAGCTCCATTCAGAGTTCCCACCAAGACCACAGGGAGAAGGGCTGGGAGGAGGTCTGGGGCAGAGTCAAGGAGTGGTGCGGAGGGGCCGGGGAAGCAGCGGGGGATAGAATCAGGGGGGCCGGAGCCCAAGAGGCACGCTGCAGGGGACCCATGGAGACCCCCATGACCTGGACTGTCTGTGCAGGGGGGGTGTCTTGCTGCGGGGTCTGCCCTCGTGGGTCTCTTATCAGGAATGCCTGGAGCCCCCCTTGCTGTGTGAACACGCCCCATCCCCACCCCCTAAGTGTGGCTTCTGTGTGGGCGTTTCTGTCCCCTGAGCCCTCCCGGAGGCAGCCAGGCTCCATCTCCCGCGGAGTCCCAGGTCTCCTGGCCTGGCTGACACCCGTTCCAGTGAGGGAGCTGCACTGGCTTCCAGGGTGCGGGTCCCCCCTGTGCTCTCACAGGCACCCAGCCAGGGCTGTCGGGGTGGGGGACCCCACCTCCCAGTAAAGTACTCAAGGTCAAGGGCCCTCGCTCTCACTCCCTGTCCCCTGCAGCACCCACGTCCTAAACTTCTGGTTTCCCAAAGTGAAGTTGAAATCATGCCCTTTCCTCGCCTTCGGCACAGCAGGGGCTGGCGGGGCCGGCAGGCAGGGCTGTTGCTAGGATTCCTGGCGTCCCTCACCGCTCTGAACGGAGGTTAGCAGCACTGAGGGCGCCAGGATCAGGCAGAGGCTGGGGCTGGGGCTGTGGGGACCGGGAGAGAAAGAGCCCTGCCGAGAGGAAGGCGAGGAAAGGGCATGATTTCAGCTTCACTTTGGGAGGCGAGGGCTCACACAGTGGGAATGCCCTGAATGTGTAAAACTGGTGAAAACGACAAGCTTCTGTATGCTTTTACCACAATTTAAAGTCATTACTGATGGCAAACTTTAACCTGGTGCGAACAGGTTTCACTGCCCCTGCCCTGGGGTCTCTGGAATATGCTGAGCGGCTCTGGAGAGGTTGCGCTGGCCTGGAGGAGGGAACCGAGGAGGGCCCCAACCCTGCGCTGCGCTGCCTGCCTACGGGACCCAGGGAGCCAGCAGGCACAGAGCAGGGAGTCTGTGCTGAGCCTCTGTGCAGACCACCTTCCCGCTCCCCACAGTCCAGGCCAGGGGCCGCCTGAATGGGCTTCCGTGGGGGAGCGACCCAGGGTCTCTGGGACCCAGGACCTGGAGCTACAAACTGGAAAAAGTGAGAACCAGCTGCAGCCACGTCCATATAGGACCCAGGGAGTGACCCTGAGCAGCTCCTGAGCTCCTCCTAACGGTGTGAGTGCCGCCACTGTCACCACAGAAAGCATCAAGCTCGCTGGACAGTAGGGGACCCGCAACGTGGCCTGGCCAGAGCCTGCCCAGGATGTCTGCTCCGAAGCCTGAGCTTGTTTCCTCGCCACAAGGGTGACTTGGTGGGTGTGCGCCTTGCCTGGGGTAACGCCGCTCCATGGAGAGCTGATTTGCCGAGATGCCCCTCCACCCTCTCAAAGAGAGGGGTGTGGAGGAAAAGAGCCCAGCGCACGCTGCAGGGTTGCAAATTAGCAGGGCCGCATGGAGAACAGCGCCAGGCACCCCACTCTGAGGACGGAACTCTCCCTCGACCACGTCTCCTACGGGCATCGAAATACTCAGGACGCGGGACTGGCCCAGGGCACCCACGAGTGGATAAAGAAAGTATGGTTTATGGGCACAGCGGAGGAAGAAGGGCGGAATCCTGGCATTTGCAGGGAGATGGCGGGAACTAGAGACCGGAGCAAAGTAAGCCAGAAAGACATGTATCGCGCATTGTGTCCTGTGTGTGCGGGCCAGGAAGAAAAGAGAGATGACCTGGGGCTAGGAGGGAGGTTGACGGGCAGGGGACGGGTCAGGGAGTTGCAGTGCTGGGTGGATGTGACAGAGGCCTGGGGTATGTGTGCGTGGAAATGCCCCTGCTGAGGCTGGTAACCTGTACCGTTTCCATGTGTCCTAAATTAGTAAGTGAGGGTGGAGGGAGGGAGACAGAGAGACACAGAGAGAGAGAAAGGGGGAGGGAGGAGGAGGAGAGAGAGAGAGAGACAGAGAGAGAGAGAAAGAGAGAGAGAGGGAGGGAGAGAGAGACACAGAGAGAGAGAGGGAGGGGAGAGAGGGGGGAGAGAGAGAGAAAGAGAGAGAGAAAGGGGGGAGAGAGAGAAACACAGAGAGAGAAAAAGAGGGGGAGAGAGGGGGGAGAGAGAGACAGAGAGAGAAAGAGAGAGAGAAAGAGAGAGAGAGAAAGAGAGAGAGAGAAAGAGAGAGAGAAGGAAGGAGAGGAAGGGAGGGAGGGAGAGAGAGAGAGAGAGAATAGGAGGAGACAACTGATTCGGAGCAGTACGATCAGTGATCACGTGCCCAGTGTCTCCTTGGCCCTGCTCAGATGGGTGCCTGTGAGCTCCACCAGGCAGTGTGAAGCAGGATGACCAGCCCTAACCAGTCCCAACCAGTTCCAACCAGTACCAACTGGTCACAACGCATCCTGAGCCCTGCAGCCCAGTGTACCTGAGAGATTCTCACCAGTCCTGACTGGTCCTGACTGGTAACAACTGATCCCAACAGGTCCGGACCAGTTCTGACCAGTGCTGGTGAGTCCTGACCAGTCCTAACTAGCACTATGCAGTCATGAGCAGGCCCAAGCGGCCCTGACTCACCCCAGCCAGTACCACCCAGCTTTGCGCAGTCCTGAGTAGTCCTGGTCAGCACCAACTGACACTGACCAGAGCTGACCAGTCCCGAGTAGTCCCAACCAGTCCCAACTACCGCCAACCAGCACCAACCTGTCCTGACTGTCCCGGGCCAGCACTGGCCAGTCCTGACCAGCGCCAACTGGCCTTAACTGGTGCCCAGCATCCTCCATCAACTGACGAGCACTGACTGGTCCCCGTGGTCCCAACCCAGCCTTGACCAGTTTGACCAGCACCAATCAGTGCTGACCAATTTCAGTCAGTGCTGATCAACACTGGCCAGCACCAAGGTCAAGGCGTTCCCTTGCAGCTGAGCTGAGTCAGAGACCAGGCGACTGTCTGGCCAAGAGGGTCAAGGATGCCATGCGTCTGTGTCCACCGACAGTTGCCACACACTCCCCCATTCCAGTTTCCTGCCCCAAGGTTTCCCATCCACAGCAGCTGACCTCCAGGCCATGGGCTCTGACCAACCTATGCCCTGGTTCCGCAGGGAGCACCAACCTATGCCCTGGTTCCTCAGAGCCCAGAAGGCCATCCTGGTCAGACTCCAGCTCTCCAAAACAGTGACAGGTGGGGAGGATCTGAACTCAGGTCTCAAAAATCAGGCCTCCACCCGGAGCAGACACACCTTCAGCCCAGACCACAAGCCCCCATGTCCCCAGGTCCAGGGCCTTCAGGAGGCCCGGGCAGCCAGGGCACAGTGGCCAGGGCGAGCACCTGTAGGAGCTCGGCACAGGGAGGTACCCACCAGCAGACAAAAGCCTGGCTCCCGGCAAGGACCAGGAAAGCCCTGGAGCCGGGCCTCTGTCAGACAGTCCTGCAGGCTGAAGCAGACGGAGCACTGCCAGCTGCCAGCCGGGGTGGGGCCAGCTGGGAGAAGCTCCGGGCAGCCGGAAGGCCAAGTCGCCGCCCTCTCAGGAGCCGCACCTTTGGTCCCCACGCACAGGATGACTCTGCGGGAGCGGACCAAAGCCCACCCACGTGGTCACGCCTCCCGGTGAGTGGCCATCTGCTTTGTGTCCTGGAAGCTTGGTGTCAGGGGTCAGAGTGGGCAGGGCCAGCAGCAAGCAGGGCTGCAGCCCAGCTGGGACAGGGGACAAAGCCTGTTGGGCAGCAGCCGCCCAGGACTCTCACTCTGGCTTTGAGGCAGAGTCTACTCGACGGGCCAGGAAAGCCCCCTTCCAGGATAGCACTGTGCCCAGCTCCAGGAGGCAAGCCGGAACGGCTGCATCCCAGCCACGGACCCATTCCTTGTGCTCACTTAGACAGTCAAGGGCAGGGCAGGTCATCAGAAACAGCCAGGCCATCCCAGACTGGACATCAGCCTGACCCACACCAACCTCGCAGGTGTGGGGCTGAGAGCAAGGCCTGGCAGCGGGCAGCAGTGGGCACCTACCTAGGGCGGTAGCCGTCGCCTGCGCCTCATCTGGAACAAGCTGGATGGCATCAGAGATGTCAATGTGATGGTCCCTTTCCTCCTCAGGGGCCTCGCTGGACTGCGGTGGGGAAGCGCAGGTGCTGCTTCCGCTGTCCAGGCCCAGGAGGCGTCTCCAGCAGTCACACATGGGGCTGGGGCAGCAGATTCTGAAAGGAGAGGAGGCCACGCTTGTTTTCTTGGACAAGAATTGTTTCTCTGAACAGCAAACCAAAATAATGTTGGCATTAACTCTGAAATGGATCTGGGCTGCTTGGATTCATTCTCCTCCAGTGGATTTCTACTGTACCGGAGCTCTCTGAGATGAGCCACCTCCTCTTAAAATACTGAAATAGAGCAAAAGGTCACGCAAGCAAAACACAGCGCTTGCTTCTGATGCGTAAGAAAACAAAGGGAGGCCTGGGCTTTCTGCTTGACGTTTGGGCTCCCGCCTCAAGGACACGGAAGTCTGTGGGTGGCCAGGTTTGGGTGTCTAGTTCTCTGACCTGGCAAGCTTTCAAGACCAGCTTTGATGGCTTATTCAGGTTGCTTAAGATCACCTTTAAACCCTCGAGTAAAGAATGTCCTCCCAATTCCAGAGCAAACATTAAAGCATTATTCCTCCAGTGGAGACTAGTAAACACCACAGGCGGCGTTTTTCGGGAAGTGATCTTGAATTTAAAGAGAAAACCAGTGGCTGTATTTCAGGGGATGCCTTCTGGGACCCCTTGGGCCGATGCCCCCTTCGTGGTAGCTACTGACCCCTGCACTCTGGCTTAGCCATTGGCACACGTATGGCCACAAGGCTGTGACTCCAGCACTGCGAAGCTGAGGCAGAAGGATTGCAAGTCTGAGCCCAACCTGGGCTTACTTAGGGACTAAGCAAGACCCTGTCTCAAAACAAGAAGGAGCTGGTGCTGGAGCTCAGTGTGAAGGACCTGGGTTCAACCCTCAGTGCCACAAAAACAAATACCCCAACGCTGAAATCCCAGCTGGACCACATCGAGGACTCTGCATGGCTCTGGGTTCGACAGCTGGTGCCCTGGTCCCTCCTGCAAGTTCATGGCTGCCCTGGGCTCAAGACTGGACTGCGCTGACTGCCCGTCTGAGAACCTTTGGATGAGAAGTTCCTGGGTCACAGTGACCACACTTGTCCGAGAATCACTCCCCCTAACAGTGCTGGAGGAGGCTGTGCTTTGGGGGTCTCTTTCTGCCTGTTGTTCCCGCTGTGCTCTAGCCGAGGCTGCCATGAACCAAGCAGCTTTAGTCCCCTGTGCCCTTCCGCCATGGTGCTCCTGCCTTGGGGCCGGTCACGGGCAGAATCCCCTAAGACCGTGAGCCAGGTAGACCCTCCAGTGACAGGCAGGCTGACCAGAGAAGCAGCTTTTCCTGAAGGGCAGCAAAGCAGAGGTTCCTGAGTAGTGTGACCAGGTCACAGGAGATTAATCCAGACACAAAGCAGCAGGTGGCCATCAATATCCACTCACTTTTAAATCCTGAGGTTGGTGTCACCCCAGCACAAGACAGGCACCCATGGCCTCCTGGTTTCGGTTTTCACAGGGGCCAGATGGGGCCAGTCAGGTCCTTCTGCGTCCTGCACCGTGCCCTTGCACACGTTATGGTTTATATCTAAAACATTCCCCAAACTTCATGTGCTCCCACGTTTACCCCGTGTCTATCCACCACGTCCACCTTCATGTCCATTACTCTGCCCAGTGTCCCAGAGTCCACAAGACCCCCGTTCCAGTGCAGGCTCTTCTGGGCCAGCACTGAGGGGTCTGGATGCCTCCCTGTGGGGCTTTGAGGTGGCCTGGGTGTCCAGGGAGGAGTGGGTTTCCTGTAGCTATGACCCATGTGGTGGATTGACAGCTGGTGGCCAACTTGTAACACCCAGCTGAGCTGAACCAGCATGGTGCTGGGTGTGGGGGGCCCACCTGAGGATTGCTGCCGGCAGCATACCAGGCAGAACTGGAGAAGAAGGGAAGATGTTAGGGAGCTGTTGGTTCTCCTGGAGGAGCTTGTCATGCTGGCTTTCCTGATGAACTCGGTTGTTCTCATCCTCCAAGAGGCTCAGGACCTTGCTGGCACTGAGAATGGTTTCAGTTCACTTTGGGAGAGCTCTGGTCCTCTCTTTGAGCATTGCTTCCTGGCTGGGAGGTCCGGGGAGAAGGTGCGATGCTCAGACTCCTGGAGAAGCTTGTCACGTTGGCTTTCCTGATGGGAACTCGGCTTTCCTCATCATCAGAGGAGCTTGGGACCTCACTGTTGCTTAGAATGGCTGTGGTATTTTTTAGGGGAGCTCTGGTTCTTTCTTTGAGCATTGCTTCCTGGTTCCAGTACAGATCCTTCAGCCTGCTAGCAGGTCCTTCATCCCACTGGCACAGAATTTCTAGCTTCCATCCCTGACCTTTGGGCCTTCCCAGTTCAGATCTGCGAAACAGGCCTGCATGAGACATTGTCATGGGCTCTTGGCCTCCAGTTGGACTGTTGAGGGGGGCATTGTTATGGGCTCTGGACTCATGAAGGACATTGCTGTGGGATCCAGGCCCCCAGCTGGATTCTTTGGTCTTCAGTGTGTGGACAGATTTCCTGCACTCTTTTTGTACATGACTCTTTGGGTGACTATTGTAAAATAATTCTATAAACTATGTGTCCTGCATTGTTTCCCCTTGTAAACCCCTGACTATGACAACCTGTGACTGCATAACCTGTCATTTGGACCCTCTGGAGCTCCAGGGTCTACTATGACATGGACTGTCCAGGTCCCTGGAGGGCTGAGGCTCCTGAAGGACCAACCCAGGCATGCTGGGAATGGGGTCACTCTGCAGCTTCCCAGAGGGGATGTCCCATAGGAGTCCACAGCAACTGCACACCCTTGTGCCCCAGGGACACTCAGAGGCTCCTTGTGCAAGAGTTCTGGGGACACCGGTGGATACCCTCCTACTCACCTGGTGTCGCCTGGGGTCCAGCACAGTCTCAGACCTCTGCAGCTGAGGGACACACACTCTAAGTCCAGTTCCCGTCCCTCAGTGAGTGGGGAGCTGGGGTGCCAGGGACCCAGGAGCCCATGAGTCCATGGGGACTGTGTTGCTCCCTGCATGATCACAGTCTGCCTTTCACAGAACCGCACACCTCTGAGCTGGCATCAGCCCATGACTGCTCCTCACATCCTTCTAGCAACTTCTGTCTCAGTTTGGGGTTCTCCCCAACACTACAAAAGCTCCTACTTAACTTGAAAGTCGAGACCGCTGCCTTTAGGGAACCTGCCCCCCACCACAAAGGCACAGAGGTCAGGGAGCTTCACTTGGGGGCCTCGGCTAGAGTGAGGGGGCCTGGAGCCAGCAGGAAGGGAGCCGGGCCTCCTCCTCTTGGCCCCCACACCAGGGTCCTGGAGAGGAGCCAGGAACCCAGCCCTGGCACTACGGCCCCTCTGACTCTGGCCCCGTCCCTGTCTGCAAGCCCTCCACACCACTCTGGCGCTTAGAGTGCTGCGCAGCTGGGGCAACTTCTCCCCACTGTCCAGGGGGCACAGTGGTGGCTCAGAGCCAGATCTAGGACCTTGAGCCACCACCTGCCCAGGAGGAAGCAGGGACCAGGACGGTGAGGAGCTGAAGGGGAGCCACAGACACAGCGAGACCCTCTCCTCACTGCCTACTGAGGCCTGCAAGCTCTGAGCACAGGGTGGGTCCCTCCTGCTGCTGGGACTCGGCTGGGCCAGGACTCAGGACAGGGCTTGGACACTCACACGGCCCAGCCTGTGACAGAGGCTTAGCTGGGCCCCCACCCGCACCCGAACGAGGGCTCTTCTGCCCCAGCAGAAGAGGTGGCCCTGGAGACAGTGCTTTATTTCTGCTACAGCCACACATCCTGGGCCTCCCACATCGGCCCCTGCACATCCGCCTGCAGCTGGCTCAGGCCTTCTGCCTGCCCAGAGCTGCTATGGAACCATGCTGGCCAGGCCCGGGGGTGGGCGGCTTCCAGGAAGAGCAGAGGTCACCACGGCTCCCCTGCAGGGCCTGGAATAACTGGAATAACTCCTGGTAGAGGACTCAGGGTTGGTGAGTGACGTCTGGCCAGCAGAGAAATGCGGCCACTCTGCTGTCCAAGCCAAGATTCACAGAACCAGGTGCCGACCCCAGCACCGCTGTCCCTGTCCCTGACACCTGCCCCAGCACCTGGAGAGCATGGTGTGACTCTAGAAGCCCCTGCAGGTGACAGCTCCCCCTGTGCGAGAGGACGCAGGTGTGAGAGGAGCCCCTGCCTCGCAAGCAGAGGGCTCTGCTGGGGACACTGTGGGAGGAGCCCACTCTGCTGGCCCGGAGCAGGAAAGCACCATCCCAGTGGCGGCTTCCGTCCAAGCACCTCTGCCCCCTAGGCTGGCTTTTCTCCAGACCCCTTCTCTGTCCCCTTCCCACGCCCTTCTGCTGCCCCAGGCACACCTGACTGCACCAGGACGTCCGTGTCCTCCTCACGTCCACCGAGCTCTGAGCCTGCAGGTGTCCCGCCACTTGCCGCTGGCGCGCCTGCCGGCTGGGGACACTGACTGGGGAAGGGCGGGAGCCAGCGAAGGGGGCGGGGTGGGGAAGAGGCGGGGCAGGGTGGGGCGGGGCTGGAGCAACCTGCTCCACCCAGCCTCACCTGGGGCAGGGCTGTCTCCTGTGTCCCAGGGCTGCAGGTCAAGCTGGCCAGAAGGGACTGTGTCCGCTCTGAATCCCCCCAGACCTAGTGGGACTTTCCAGCCCTCCGGGACCGCCCTGCTCCTGCCGCCCTAGGAAGAAAGGCGGAGGCAGTCGGGGTGCCGCCTGTGAGCCGGTGCTCAGCAGTCCTGCGCCCGCCAGAGTCCGCTCTGGTGTGTGAGGGACAGGAGGCACGTAGGGCCCTCAGTCACCCCAGTGTGGCCCTGGCACAGAGGACGCCATGCTGCATGAGCCCTGGGCAGAGAAAGAGACACTTGTGGACCTGGACATGAAGTTGTGAATTTGGGGTTCAGAACACAGCTTGAGGTTCAGGATGTGACAGGTACAGACAGGGTATGGACGGCCTTCTCGGGGTGCTTCCGCCGGGAACGGGCACAGGATAGCGTGCAGGTCCCGCCTCCCTGGGGACGCTCTGGGCTGGCCCGACACTGCAGGGCCTGCTGCTGGACAAGTGCTGCATACAAGGGAGAAAGCCCCGAGACAGCAGGGAGGGAGGAGAGCTGCGCTCGAGGAATGTGCCATCTTTGAGGCTTGGCCACAGGCGCAGGAAGGTGGCGCTGTCCTGCTCTCTGAGAGCAGGACTCTAGTGTGTGATGCTGGGATCAAGGGTGGTGATACTAAATCACTGGGCTGGGCCGGGCAGGCTGGCCCAAGGCACTGCAATTCAGTGGTGAGGCGTGGGCTATTTAGGACCAAGGTCCCACTTCATATCCTGAGGGAGGCAGCCCAGCAGCTGCAGAGGATGGGTGAGGTGGTGGGGGCCAGGCTGTGTGCGACCCACGGGGCGCTGGTGCAGGGCAGGACTACCAAGCCGAGCCGCGCTTGGCCCTGTGCAGGGATTGGCAACATGCTGAGTGGCCTGTCGCACAGAGGAGGGAGCGGCAGGCCTGGGGACACCTGGGCAGGAGCCCAGCGCCTTCTCCTCAGAGTGTCCCGCTCTGGGACGGTTGACCACAGGATGAAAGTGGGACAAAGCCCCAGGACTTCTGTGAGCCTGGAAAGCGTTGAGGCTGAGTCCACTGTTAAGGCGATTCCAGAAAGACTCAGTTTCAACCAAGGACAAAGCCCAGCAGCCTCCACATCCCCTGGCACCCTGCTGGGTTGGCTTGTTAAGCCCCAGGCTTTTGTCCCCAGGGCCCCCCAGTGAGGCACAGAGATTAGCATCACAAAGGCTGTGTGAGGGCCCTGGAGGGGCGGCTCAGGGCCCGCAGCAGCGAGGGGTGAGGGAGGCTGTGCGTGTGCACATGCCTTTGTGAACATGTGCATGCGTGAATTCTGCAGGTCTGTGCAAAATTCTACAGGTGTCAAAACCACCTGCTGCCCCGAGATTTACCTTTCCATTCTTTGAATCTTGTAAACCCCCAGTGGAGCAGAGCATCAGTGAGTGAAATTTTTCAAATTATGATTTTGTCTGATTAATTTTGAGGGGTAAAACATGCTCAGTAAACAGTGTGTCCAGAATCTGCATTTTTGAGTAAAGATCCAGAATACATTGCATCTCAGCCTGTGGTGGGGCGGAGAGGGGAGTGGGGGTGGGCTGTCCTCATGGCTTCCTGAGGGGGTCCTGAGCAGGATGCCAGGACAGGCTGCAGCTGCTCAGCACCTGCCTCTTTCAGTTCTGTCCTAGTTACTTTTCTGTCACTGTTGAGACAAAGTATCTGACACCCAAATTTGAAGGGGAAAGGTTTGTTCGGCTCACAGTCTGTAGAGGTTTCAGTCCACGGTTGGTTGGCTCCAAGCCAGGGTGGCATTGCAGGGGAGAAATAGTTCATGGCAGGCAGAAGGTAGCAAAGCAATAGGGTGGCTACAGCTCTTTCTGTCCCTTATATCTTATCCAGGCTCCTTAGGGTGGGAGCACTCACACTCTTGACCGAGCATTGCACTGTGAATTGATCCCAGGGACACACACTCTAGATCCAGCACCTTTCAAAGCCCCACATATGAGTGCACGGGGCTTTGGGGCCCATTTGACACAACCGTAACACCTTCCTTCATCCCTCCCTCCCTCGTTTTTCTGGTCCTGGAGGTTGAAACCCGGGCTTTTGCACTGAGCTACAGTACATCACATCCTCAGCCCTTTTATTTTTTATTTTTGAAACAGGGTCTGGCTAAGTCACTAAGTTAACTAGGCTGGCTTGAACTTGGGATCCTCCTGACTCAACTTCCCAAAGTGCTGGAGTACAGGTGTACATCATATCACCTGGGGCCTGTGTCTTAGAGGACAGTGGTTGCTGCCTGTAGGCAACAAATGTCCTACTGCTCATCACTCAGTGGAAGAACTCAGAGGAGACACAGGTAGCAGGAGGAACAGTGTCATAGCTGTGTCTAGGTGTCCCCCCAAACCTCATGGAGTCATTGGGAGCTTTGCAGAGGTAGCTGACTCTAGTGTGTGATGCTGGGATCAAGGGTGGTGATACTAAATCACTGACTGTACTGGCATAATTCTGGCTAGGATTAAGGGTCTGAGTGCTACACCTGCCCCAGGGTGGGCAGCCTGCATTAAATCGAAGGGACAGGAAAAGGTCCAGTGTGCTCTCCCTGCCCGCCTGCTGCTGTGGACTGTTTCCCCTCTGCCATGCTCCTTTACCATTCTGCCCTGCCTTGGAGCCAGCTGATTAGGGATTGAACCTTTACAACTGTGAGCTACAATAAACCTTTCCTCCTTGAAGTGTCGGGTATTTTGTCTCAGCCACAAGAAAGTAAATAAGACAAACAGGCTCCTTCAAGCAGCCCTGAGGAAGACAGACTTCATTGTTTTTCCTGGTCTCTGCCTCAGGGGAGGGGGTAGGGACTCTCATGGGAGAAAGGGAGAGAAATCCTCACACTCAGGGCTCTGTCCCCTCTTCTTGGGCTGACTGGACAGGACTTGCCTTTCCATCAGTATCCTGCAAGGGCATCCAGGAGCCGGGGAACATGCCCAGCAGAAGCCTTGGTGGGATTTGGACACTGCACTCGGGGAACAGTGTGGGTGGCTTCCCTGCAAAGCTGCTGGCCATGCTTTGGGCACAAACGCTGGTGGCATCCCCTGAGCAAGGGCATCCCCAGCCCCTCCGGGCATTGGGAGCTCAGTGGTCTCCAGAGTCAGTGAGGCAACGGCACCCTGTGGTCAAGCTGAGGGGGTGAGGGTGCACCATGGGCA